GGAGGCCAAGGCAGGAGGATCACTTGAATCCAGGACTTCAAGCCTGCAGTGAGCCATGATCATGATCATGACACTACACTCCAGTTTGGATGACAGAGCAAGACGTGTCTCAAAACAAAACAAACAAACACACACACACACACACACACACACACACACACAACAAAAACCCTAATTACTTAAGAAGTTATATAATCCTTTTAATTCTCAAAAAATAATGCCCTGCTATTTAGCAACTATGACACTTATTAAACATAAATCAAATAATATTATTCTCCTGATCTGCAGGGCATAACTGGACAGAGTAAATGCTTAATGAATATTACTCACACTTAGTCTGGATATACAGGGACTTACTGGAATTAGCCAGTAAGCCCCTGTATATCTAGCTTGGCTAGAATGAAACTGGTCAGATAACCATGTAGAGCATATGTAAATATGATCAGATCACAGAATTTCAGAGATGGACAAGACAAGACAGAGAGGATCTGAGCCAAGCCCTTGTTTAATAGATGCAGACTCAGAGGGTTTGAGAAGCAATGCACTCAGGCTAACAAGTTCACAGAGTTGCCTAGGAAAGTGGAAACTGGAACTCTGCTGAGTGTCCTTCCTGAGTGCATCCTGAAGCTCCCTTTTTTCAGAAAAGAGAAAACAGAAACAGAGAAAGTGGGTGATTTGAAAATATGTGGTGGGGAAACATCCTTAGACATACAGCATAAAAGCAAACTGGTATACAGGGGAACTCACCAAGCATCGATTGAATAACCTTCAGGATTATGCAATCCTTTTTTTCAAATTTGAATTTTTAAATGAGACATAATACATGCACATAATATAAATAAAAAATATTAAATTTTACAAAGAAAAAAGTTAAAACTCTATACCCTCATTTCCCCCCATTCGAGGTAACCACCATTAACCATTACTGATAACTTGAAGAATTACTTTCCAGGTATTTTTCTGTACAGATATTAATAATTATTATACAAAAGTTGATTCAAAATATATACTATTGTGCATTTTCTTTTTCTTCATTTGAGAGACATTCTTCTATGTCACTACATAGGGGTTGCCTTATATGTTATAACATCTGAATATTATTCATCCAATACTCTCGTAACAGTGTCTCCCTTGAAGAACAGAGTGAGTAAAAGTTTTAAAGCACTGTAGGACAAAAGTAGACATTTTATAAATGGTGTTGGGAATTTGGAGAGTCATCTGGGAAAATGCAAAATTAGATCTATTCTTCATGCCATACACTAGAATAAACTCCACATGTAAATATGAAATCATACAGAAGAAAATATGAGAGAAATTATGTAACTTGGGAATAGGGAACTTTTCCATCTAACCATGACACCAAATCCAGAAGCAGTAAGGCAAAAATGCATAAACTTGACTATATAAATGTTTTTCCCATTGATCAGGCAAGAGAAAGAAGAAGAGAGGGTAAGAAAACCTATAGATTTAAAAGACACTTGGCAGATAAATCAATCAAATTCAGTGTGTGAATCTTGTTTGCATTCTTACTTCAAGGAGCTAAGTATACACACACACACACATACACACACACACGTGTATTATAAGACTATTGGGGACATTTGAACACTGACCAAGTATTTGAGATTAGAAAGTAGTAAATTCTTTTTTTTTTCTATTTTAAATTTTATTTATTTATATTCTCTTTTTAATTGCATTTTAGGTTTTGGGGTACATGTGAAGAACATCCAAGATAGTTGCATAGGTACACACGTGGCAGTGTGATTTGCTGCCTTCCTCCCCTTCACCTATATCTGGCATTGAAAGTAGTAAAGTCTTACATAATTTCATGATATTGTAGGTTGTATTTTTTAAAGAGCACAAATCTTTTAGAGATCCATATTTGCCAAGACCAGCTCGGTCATAGAGACCCCCACCCAGGCAGCACTGAAGGAATTAAGAAACAGAAACAAAGATAGAGGGCAAAAGTGGGATCAGAGTGGAACGTCAGGGGGCTGACAGCATTTCCCAGCTGACAGCCCAGAGCAGACTCCAACCCATGTATTTATTCTTTGTGAACAAATAACTGTTTTTAATAAGCAGGTGCTCAGTGTTTCTTCACGGAATAAAGATAGACTACACAGGCAGACAGTTCCTGTTCACTACTATAACAGAAATAAGCTAAAAAACACTCTATGTGAGTCAGCAATGGGGACAAGGTCAAATATCCTGTTTTGGGAGCTGGTTTAACTAGTCCATGACCAATGCATACTGCTTGCTTATTCTAGTGGTTTCCTGCCTGGGGATGGCTCTGTCTTCCTTGCCATTGCCTCTCAGCAAACAACATACATTCCATTGCACACACATCAAGACCTCCTCCCAACACACACTGATAATATTTATGGATGGAATATTAAGTTTTGGATTTGCTTTAAGGTAATCCAGGGAGTGGGGCGAGAAGAAGTAGTTGGCACACAGATGAAATAAGAATGAGCACAGATTTAATCATTGATGATGCTGTGTAAAAGTAAATGGTACCTCATCATACTATTCTCTTGTTTTTTGAATATGCTTAAAATGCTTTAAGTTAAACACTAAAACTGTAAAACTTCACTGATAGAGTGCTGCAGTCAAGAAAACTTGCCCTGACTTTAGTTCTGCCACTTAATTTGTCAAACAATCAGAGGCAAGTACAAATTTCTTTGTATAATTACAATTTCTATGCTGCCTTATTATTCCAGTAATCTATGCATATGTTCATCTCCCAGTTAAACTCCAAACCCTGACTATCAGGAATAACATGTTTCATTCATCTTGTTTTCCCCAGTGCCTATCTTGATGTAGGATTAGATGGGGAAATGTTTCTCCAATTTTTCATGTGTGGAGAGCTAAGTACTTGCTCAGCACAAATGTGGTCTGCTGGCTTTAGATAAATTAGATAAAAGTAGTATTAATTTTTAAGTATGTTGATTAAAAGTATCATCAACATTAAGAGGAATCACATTTTATCAATGGTAGTAAAACTTGATAGAGAATAAGTGATTATCAGAAGTGGGAGGCAGTGGAGGGTGTGGAAGACATAGGTCAAAGGGCACAAGGTTGCCATTAGGTGGGGTGAATAAATCTGTATATCTAAAGTACAGCATGAGGATTACAGTTTTGTTTTGATTTCTGAAGACAGGGTCTCACTCTGTCCCCCAGGCTGGAGTACAGTGGCACAATCTCGGCTCACTGAAAACTCTGTCTCCCTGGCTCAAGCCATCCTCCCACCTCAGCTACCCGAGTAGCTGCGACTACAGGCATGCACCATCACGCCTAGCTAATTTTTGCATTTTTTTGTAAAGACAAGGTTTTGCCATGTTATCCAGGCTGGCCTTGAACTCTTGAACTTAACCTCCCAAAGTGCTGGGATTACAGGCATGAGACACCATGCCCAGCTGAAGACTATAGTTAATAATATTGTATTGTATACTGGAAATTTGCTAAAAAAGTAGATTTTCAGTGCTCTTACCACACACACACAAAAAAAAGGTAACTGTGAGACATGAAATAATGGATATCTTAGGTGCTTACCTGTAGAAATCATTTCACTGTGTATATCAAAACATCATGTTGTAGTCCTTAAGTGTATAAAATGCAATCATAAATAAAAATAAAATTTTAAAAATAGAATTGGTAGATAAAAATAAGTGATAAAACATTTAAAATTATATTTTTAAATCATAAAAATATTTAATATTAACATTAATAGACATTTTATCAGGCATAGAAATATCCTTTGTAATCTTTCGCCAATGTCGTTGTATCTGGCTTAGTGTTTTACAGCTTGAGCTATAGGTTAGGCTCTCGATCCTTCCTCCTGTTAAAGTTTATTTTCCTCCTCCATATTTTTACTAAATTAGAAAATTTCATCTCAGAGATCAGGTCATTGGGAATGGCAGTGAATGTTTGGTGTCTCTTTTACACAAATCTGGGAAATCAAATGGAAAATAAAGTGGTTTCTTACTGAATACGACTTTCTCCACTCTGTCGGACACTACATTGGCAGAAATTGTATCTGAAAGACAAGGGGCAAATGTTTCTGTTGCGGGATGGCTTTGAATACACTTTTTCACTCCTGCATTGACTGTGGCTCTAGAAAGTATTGTTTCATGTTCTGTTGCAGTACTTGCATGCAGATGTGGATATTTAAATATGCAGCACTGTTACAGAAGGTAGCAAACCAGACATAAGCAGGGCAGGAGAGCCCCCAACCTCCCTGCACCAGGAATGCCAGGCTGAATTTGATTACACTGAATTTGATTGATTTCTCTCTCACGTGTCTTTTAAACCTATAGGTTTTCTTACCCTCTCTTCTTCATTCTCTTGCCTGATCAATGCCAGGTGAGAGTCTGGCAGTTAAGTTGTCTCTCCAAAACAATAATCAGATGCAGCAGGGACCAGGGAAATGTAGTCTCCCAATAGGTAGAAACACCTGAAACTGGTGAGCTGCAGTCTCCCAGTAAGATCTCAGGAGCTGGGGAAGTGGGCTCACACATGCGCACTAAGAGGCAAAACAGCCACGTTTCACTAGTATATGACCTTCTGGGAAGGTTCTACTGGTAAGAGAAGAATGCCTCAAATGAGCATGTGTTCAACTCCAGAAACACAGGGTGAATGGAGACAGCCCACCCCAAGGGAAGAATGGGGGCGCGGGAAGAGACGCAGCACCCTGGAAGCTTCCTGATGTATAAGACCCCAAGTCAAAGATCACACAGCACACTTTTCTCTCAAGGCACCTGCTTGCCCCTCTTCCAAGTGTCCTTTACATCCTTCTGCTCCTGTGCTAAAGGTTTTTTAAAAATTTTCACTCTTGCTCTAAAACTTGCCTCAGTCTCTCCTTCTGCCTTCAGTCAAATTCTTTCTTCTGAGTGCAAGAATTGAGGTTGCTGCAGACCCGTATGGATTCGCCACAGCTGAGAGCACTACATCTTGGTTTTCTTAATTTCCTTCTGTAGCAAGTGAAAAAAAAAAGTTATGGGTAATCTATCAAATTCCCAGAAATCAAACTCTTTGCACCATCATTTTGCCTACTAAAGAAATCCTGATATCATCTCCTGAGTGTTCAGCATTTAGGCTTTTGTCCCTAACGTGAGAGCTTAGACCCCTAAATTACACCATTCAAGACACTAAGACTTATGAATTAAAGTTAAAAACAGCATTACGCAAAACATTTATTTTAATTTCATTTCTTATTTAAAGACAAGAGTGGACCATTCCCACCCAAAACAGTGCCCCCTACTGGGGAGAAGCAGGGTGTTGCCCTAACTGCCTGTTCCTCCAGTCGGCATGTTGAAAACATGTGCACACAGAAGCCACAGTTTGTTCTTAGTCACAATTCACAGTATTTCTTTCAATGCCAAATCAAGATGAGGAGGCGTATAGTTAAGTGCCAATTATTCTTTGTGAGAAAGCATTTTGTGATTTGACACTCAAGAGCCCAGGAGTTTGAGAGCTAAGTACAGCAACAAGGATGAAATCTCAAAAACATATTGAACAAAAGCAGCAGTCACAGGAAAATATTTGTGATTTCATTTATGGAAAGTAAAAAAAATAGGTAAAAGTAAATAATAATCCATGTAGTGATACATACGCAGGTGGTAAAGCTAAAATGAATGGAAACGGAATTAAAGATAGAAAAGTTAGGAACATGATAAGGGAAGGAGGTAAGGAAGAGAGGGGCACCACCGGGAAAGGTGGGCGTGAGCACCTGTAAAGTACTGGTAATGGTCTTGTTCTCCCAGGTGTTCATTATCAGCTACTCATTTTACAGATTTTTGTTTCTGTTTTGTTCTTTGGGGTTCTGGGGGGACAGAGACTCGCTCTGTTGCCTAGGCTGGAGTGCAGTGGCATGCTCTCAGCTCAGGGCAACCTCCACCTACAGGTTCAAGTAATTCTCATGTCTCAGCCTCCCAAGTAGCTGGGATTACAGGAAGGTACCACCATGCCAGCTAATTTTTGTATTTTCAGGTGAGATGGTGTTTTGCCATGCTGGCCAGGCCGGTCTCAAACTCCTGGCTCAAGTAATCTATGCGCCTCGGCCTCCCAAAGCGCTGGGATTATGGGTGTGAGCCACAGTGCCTGGCCATTTTACTGTTTTTCTTACATGTGTAAATAAGTTTATACCTTATATTTAAGATATAATACCACCTCTCTAAATGTATTATATCACACAGTCACACACAAAATTCTGAGCCATTGATGCATTCATGTGACTTATATAGATTAACAAAAAGCATATGCAAATGATATAGAAATATTCATTAAAACAATATTAGTTACAACTCGGCCGGGCCCAGTGGCTTACGCCTATAATCCCACCCAGCACTTTGGGAAGCCAAGGCCGGCAGATCACTTGAGGTCAGAAGTTTGAGACTAGCCTGGTCAACATGGTGAAACCTCATCTCTCACAAAATACAAAAATTAGCCAGGCGTGGTATCAGGTGCCTGTAGTCCCAGCTACTCAGGAGGCTGAGGCATGAGAATTGAACCCGGGAGATGGAGATTGCAGTGAGCCAAGATCGTGCCACTGCACCCCAACCTGGGTAACAGAGTAAGAGCCTGTCTCAATAAAATAAAATAAAGGCCAGTGGCTCACGCTTGTAATCCCAGTACTTTGGGAGGCCAAGGCAGGTGGATTGCCTGAGCTCAAGAGTTCCCAACCAGACTGGGCAACACGAGGAAACCCCATCTCTACTAAAATACAAAAAAATTAGTCAGGCTTGTAGTCCCAGCTACTTGTGAGGCTGAGGCAGGGGAATTACTTGAATCTGGAGACAGAGGGTGCAGTAAGCCAGGATTGCACCACTGCACTCCAGTCTGGGTGACAGAGCCAGACTCCATAATTAATTAATCAATTAATTAAAGTTATAGCTGAATGTTAGCTGAGACTAACTAACCAACACAGTCCTTTGATTGCAGAAAGCAGCTTCTAGCGGTGCCTCCAAACTTTCGGCAGTCTGAATCTCTTTCCTCTGCCCTCCTCTCTAAATTCATCATTTCTCTTGTCTTGATAATCTTTCTTAATACAATGAACCAGAGTTGATTGGATTTATGCCTTGGGAGGAGGCTGACGTAGTCAGTGAGTCAGGCCACAAGTTCTGGGGAGAGATCTGGTGCGTTGACATCTCCCCACTGTTCTCTGTGACTTAGTTTCTGTGCCTGACTTTCCTATTCTGGAAAATAGCCGTAAGAATAGTACCTCACAGTGTCATTGAGTTAATACACACACACCAGCATTTATTCCAGTGCCTACTGTATGGCAAGTGCTCCCACAAATGTTGACGGTCCTTTATCAAAATTGCAGTCACATCTAGTGGTCCCAAATCCTTAAAACTGTACCCTAATAACCTTAGTAATGAAGATGGTGTTATTGGTAACAACCTCTTTCTCAATATCCCCAATGCACCAGCAATGTCCAAGATGCTTTGGATATAATGCTTCATTTACTTGTTTCGATAAATTCCTTACTGTCCATTTGAATGGAGTTTGGGGTGTCCTCTCTTTGCTCAAATATTTACACACAAATAATCTTGTGATTTATTCCACAGACAGCTAATCCCACCTAGCATGAACTTTCCTATTCAATTTTCTGACTACAACCTCATTCACCTCATTTCCTAATTCACAGGTTTGGAGGGTACCTTAGTGCAAGACCCCTTGCAACCGCTTAGGGAACAGAAGAAAACAAGCAAAAGAGACTATGTGCATCCAAATGAGCTTTCAGAAGCAAATTAATTTTCTTGAAAAAGGTCCATTTTCCTAGAAGAGAGTGAAACCTGTACTTGGAGCCCCCAGGTCACAAGCAAGCTAACAATTTTGGAGATAAAAAAAAAAATCGTTGGCAAAACCCTCATCAGTCAAGCAATGCAACCTCTCTGGCAAGTGTCATAACACTGAGAATCAGATTGAAACTTGTCCATTTGAAGCCCTTGTCAGCTCCCCAGACTTAAGATCCAGACTCACAACTTCCCTCTGCACAATGCAGTTAAATGATCAGGGGACCAGGTGCGGTGGCTCACACCTGTAATCCCAGCATTTTGGGAGGCCAAGGCGGGAGGATCACAAGGTCAGGAGTTCCAGGCCAGCCTGGCCAATATGGTGAAATCCCGTCTCTACTTTAAACAATACAAAAATTAGGGCATGGCAGTGCGTGCCTATAGTTCCAGCAACTCGGGAGGCTGAGGCAGGAGAATTGCTTGAACCTGGGAGGCGGAGATTGCAGTGAGCCAAGACTGTGCCACAACACTCCAGCCTGGGCAACAGAGCAAGACTCCATCTCAAAATGATCAGGGAAGAAAAGTCACGTAAAGTCCCCTTCATGTGTTTTCTGTTTACTTGTCACAGATGCTAACCTGTTGTCTAGATTTCCAGAGTTACTGACCCACAGGAGAGATAGACTTTCACAAAATCTGCACCAGCTCAGAGCCCTACTTACAGATCAAGACACCCAGGAAAATGTTACTGAGTGAAAGAGCCACAGAGGGGCGAGCAGAGAATAGGCACTCCAGTGTCCCCGATGAGTCCTCATGGGCTAAATTGGAAGGCCTAGTCCCTGCTTTGAAGAAATATTAGGGAAGCCAATAAAATTAAAATAAAATTTAATTAACATAGCCTTTAAAAGTATTTCTGGCCAGGCATAGTGGCTCGTGCCTATAATCCCAGCACTTTGGGAGGCTGAAGCAGGCGGATCACAAGGTCATGAGTTCGAGATCAGTCTGGTCAACATAGTGAAACCTCGTCTCTACTAATAATAACAACAAAAAAATCGCCAGGTGTGGTGGTACATGCCTGTAATCCCAGCTACTCAGGAGGCAGAGGTAGAAGAATCATGTGAACTCAGGAGACGGAGGTTGCTGTGAGCCAAGATTGTGACAATGCACTCCAGCCTGGGCAACAGTGCAGGACTATATCTCAAAAACAATAAAAAATAAAAAAGCATTTCCCAGTACAGTCTTTATTTGTCCTTCACCAGGACTCTTGGAAGCAGATACTATTTTTCCTATTTTACTAAAGAAGTCACCGAGGCTCTGTCCAGGGTGACAGGACAATTACTGTGGCAGCTGGGGTCTGAGCCAGACTGAATGTCTCTGAAACCTCCCCTGTGCTCCAGGGCATTCTGTACACAGAGTGAGCTCCAGCTACATGCCAGGCATTGTACTAGGTGCCGGGAGAAAGTAGAGCCGTGACAGAGTCCCGGAGAGCACAGTCCCCTGAAAGAGACAAATCAACAAGCACATCAAGTCCTGAACAGTGGCTGCCACATCATAGCACAGAGGAGAGTGACCTCCACCATGGAGCCCGAGAGACAACCAGGAATCGGTCAGACAAAGGAGAACATTCCATGAAGCCTTTGCTCCCGGGACACACCTTGAGCAATCTCCAATTTGTCAGCCAAAACCACAGTGTTCTTCTGGTATTTAGGGCTCACAGGGTTCATGTACTTCACATTTTTATACCATCAGGCAAGAATTTTTAAAAGTACTGTCCACTCTAGAAAAAAAATGGATATATATAATACACACATATTTTGCATATGTATTTATGTATTCATGTATGCTTGTATGTATTACACTGGCACAAAAGTAATGGCACTTCTTGCCATTAAAAGTAATGGCAAAAAACAAAATTACTTTTGCATCAATCTAGTAGGTATATTATACACATACACACACACACACACACACACAGAGAGAGAGAGAGAGATTTAGATAATACAGACAAAAATTCATTAAATTCATTGAGTATCATTTTTCCATGTATCATATCACCTATCAGCCAGTATTTTCAGTTATTCATTTATTCAATTATTTAAGAGAAACTTTAGAGCTGGACGTGGTGGCTCATGCCTGTAATCATAGCACTTTGGGAAGCCAAGGTGGGTGGATCACAAGGTCAAGAGATCAAAACCATCCTGGCCAACATGGTGAAACCCTATCTTGCATGCCTATAGTCCCAGCTATTTGGGAGGCTGAGGCAGGAGAATTGTTTGAAACTGGGAGGCAGAGGTTGCAGTGAGCCGAGATCACACCACTGCACTCCAGCCTGCAATACAGCAAGACTCCATCTCAAAAAACAACAAAAAACACACTTTAGAAGTACTTACTGGGTCTAGATATGCCTCACATAAGGTTAGGCACTGACACAAGGCTCCTACCCTCACGGCACTCACATTCTACTCGGGGAAGCAAACACAAGTAAACCTAAATAAAGATACTTGCACACTGAAATAAGTCTTACAAAGTGAGTACAGTAATAAGAAAGGGAGACAGGAGTGGTCGCTTTATATAGGAGCATCAGAGCAGACTACTCTGAGGAAGGGATACCTGAGCTGAGGCCTGGCAATCTCAGGAGCTGGGAATAGAATTCCAAGTGAGCAGGCAGGAAAGACAAAGGCCTAGAGACAGTAAGAGCTGGTTGTGTCTGGCCTTGTTCTCAACCTGGGCTGTCCAGTAGATTAACCTACCACCCTCCTGGCACATCAATGTGTATCATTAATCAGGGAAGCTCACTAGAGAGTTTTTACTAGCGTTTCATTGTGTAGGCATGAGTGACTGAATCATGGCCCAGAAAACTGAACTCAACTTCCAGTCCCCTTCCCTTCTCCATAGTTCAGGTTGATACCACCCAGCCAAAGCCCCAATCCTATAATCACACAGTTGGTCGTTATGTCATGGTAGGCCTCTGTCCTGAGTCATCTCATTATCAGAAACTCAGAGGTGATCTGAGGGGCCCACCATGAATGACAAAAACACTCCTATTACTTGGAAAATCCCAATGATTCAGTGATTCCCTCCCAAGAACTAGAGACAAAGGCAATTCTTCAAGACTAGTTACTGAGCTGGAAAAGAGCAGGCTTCATGAAGGTTGGGGCTATAATCAGGAGTGTGGTTTTGATGTATGACATTTGGATCACCTCTGAGACAGCCAAGTGGAGATGTCAAGTAGACAGCTGAGTGAACAAGACTGACCTCTCAGGGGAGGTCTGGGCTGCTGATACAAATCTGAGAACCATCAGCAAGTTAATGGCATTCAAAACCAGCAGACAGGATGAGATCCCTTAGCAAGCTGACAGTAAAAGAGAAAATAAATGACCCAGGCCTAAGCCCCAAAGCAAACCATCATTTGGAATTCTTATGACCTACAACTCTGATTTTCCTGCTCTTTCATCTTTATCTGCTCAGGCAGCAAAAAATGAAAAGTTGTTCCAGTTGAGGTAAGTCCCATCTTTTAATATGCATAAACCTCCTCAAAAATCATGTTTTTGAACATGAAGCAAAGCCAGGAGCTTCCCACAGTGGATACCAGATTCAAGCTGGGGAGGACACATACTGTTTATTATCTTCTAACACAGACAGTAATATAGAACAAGAAAAAGGCAGGAAGCCAGAACATTTGAAATAACAGTGGGTTATACAAAGACATATTCTTTTCACCAATGTAAAACTATAAAAGGATAACAATGTATTTTTTATTTCAGAAGCAGTTTCCCCTAATTTATAAAGTTCACTTTCCCTACAGTAACTGTAACACAAATGATATTGTTTGAATTAAAAAAAAAAACAAAACTTCAGCTGTGTAGCCCCAGCTACACAGGGGACTGAGATGGGAAGATTACTTGAAGCCAGGAGTTCAAGTCCAGCCTGTGCAACAGAGAGAGACCTCATCTGTAAAAATAACAAAGAACTTGTTCATTCCTTATTAAAAACAAATTTCACTTATTCAGTTTTTTTTTGTTGTTTTTTTGTTTTTTTTGAGATGAAGTGTTGCTCTGTCACCCAGGCTGGAGTGCAGTGGCACCATATTGGCTCACTGCAACCTCCACCTCTGGGGTCCAAGTGATTCTCCTGCCTCAGCCTCCTGAGTAGCTGGTATGACAGGAATGCACCACCATGCCTGGCTAATTTTTGTGTTTTTAGTAGAGACGAGGTTTTGCCATGATGGCCAGGCTGATCTCAAACTTTGACCTCAAGTGATCCACACACCTCAGCCTCCCAAAATGCTGGGATTACAGGTATGAGCCACCATGCCCAGCCTACTTGTTGAGCTTCTAAGAGTTAATGTAAAACACTGTAAGTTCAATACAGGAACTATCCTTAAGAGCACTGCCACTTCAGACCAACATTATTAGGTAGATATTCAATAATATCTTCACCTACAGCCATGCCAAGGGTAACGATAATATTTAATAATAAAAAGACCATTTAACATTCATGGAGCTCTTATGATATGCTAGCCCTCAGCTAAGTGCCTCAGAAACATTATTGCTATCCAGTAATATATTTAATATTAATTGAATAGATGCATTTAATTTTTATTTAATAATATGCTTTTATTTAATGACATGTATAAAGCAATAATCCTGAAAAATATTCTATCCCTAAAGTACAGCTGAGAAAACTGAGGCTTGCAGAGATGAAGTAACTTGCTTCTCAACAAGCCACAAGTCATTTAATCCAGATCACAGGGCCACCCAGTGAGGAACCAACAAAGCCACAACCCAGGTCTGCCTGCAGCTGAAGCAGGAAGAGGCCCAGGAGTTAAAGGAGAGATCGTCACCGATCTGCCCTTAAAATATGTCTGGGATGCATGAGTGCTTCACTGATGAAGTTTTTTCTGCTGAAAGTAATTTAGTTCAATGTGCAGGTTCTGTGGGGCTCCTGTGCTTTCTCAGCCAGCAGGAGTGAGAAAAGGCAAGACAGTCTTTCTGCAGCACTGAAGCGGCCGCTGGGTGAAAGGAGTTCAACAATGGAGTCAGGTAGTCTGTTGTTCAGCTTCAGATTCATTTACTCTCAGGCTTTTCTTCTTTCTCCCCTTTCAATCACTGAGGCTGTCTTGATGAGAGGCATGCTTCCTCCTCTATTCTGGGCCAGAAACTCACTGCAGCTGTCTGTGAATGGGTGGGAAACTTGCCACCCGTCAGGCCACTAGGATTGTGCCAATCACCTTTTATCTGCCAAATGACAAGGTATCAGAATGGCTAGACCTCAGGATGCCAGATTATCAATCACAACTATTATTTATTAATCATTTGCTAGTTATTACATATATTATAAATATAACAGTTCTTTATTATTATGAATATAAAATTAATTTCTATCATATAAAGTTGTTTATATTTTTGTTTTATAAAGTTGTTTAAATTTTTATTAAAGTTGTTTATAGTTTTATTATAGTTATTATTTTTATAATTTATTAATCACTTACTATAGTAATAAGAGCCATTATTTATTAAGTGCCTTATATGCATCAGACATTTAACAAATATTTTTATTTAGTCTTCATAGCACTCAGCATGGTAGACAATATAATCCCCTATAGAGACTCAGAAGGTTTCAAACTTGCCCAAAGTCACACAGTGGCAGAGCTGGGACTGGACCCAGGTGTCTGGGACTCCAAAACGCATATACTTTCCCACATCGATTCTGCCTCTAATACACTGGATAGGAGTCCCTTAGCTCCAGGCAGAAGTCAGAGGCATCTGTTTATCACGGATGTCAGTATCTGCCAAACTCAGCGCTATAGAGCTGGAGGTAATGAAAATATCCCATCTATTTTATGAATCTGAATATATTAACATTATTTGGACAGCCATGAGTACTCAGTGCCCTGCTATAGCAATAGCCTCAGGGGTTATTGACATGCATGGACTTCTTTCCCTCCATGCCAAATGGTGCCACACTGACATCCTTTTTTCAATTTAACTTTTTAAATTCACGTTTGTTGTTATAATTTTCTGCCTCCTACCTCACTATTAGGTTGTAAGCTACCACAAATGTTTCACTGATGTCCTTGTGGCTGCTTCTAGGGTGGCACTGTTGACCTTTAGGCTGGGTAATTCTTCATTGGGGCACGGGGCATCCTGAGCATTATAGAATATTTATCAGCAGCCTGGCCTCCACCTTCTAAATGCGAGTTGTAACTCCCTTCCTCCCCAGGCATGCCTATCAAAGATGTCTCCGGACACTGTCAAATGTCCCCCGATACTGGGGAGAGGCAAAATCACCCCCATTGAAGAACCATTGTTCTAGGTGAGTACACACCCACACAAATATACACACACATTTCTAATATGCTACGTCTTATAGTGTTGCTCAAGGAACGAAACAGCTAGCCAGACTTATCAGACAGAAACAGAATAAAATAAATATAAAATAAGCTTAGCGTGATACTGTGAGGAAATCTCACAGCAACCCTCATAAGTTTCAGCTCATAATGTCTGTGACAGATTTCTGTTGCTCAAAACCCTATTGTGTTTTCTATACGTTTATATTTGCAGCATATTCTGACAGGAAGTCCTTAGATAAATGACAATATAAAAGAAAATTTACTACATAATCATGATGGTGACCCCGTGTATTCCTATCATGTCACTCATATAGCCAGTTTGTGAAGCAAAATATTACCTACAACTTCCACTTTTCCTACAACAGCCATTCTACAATGTTTCCATTCTACTTGAATCAAAACTCCTGTTAATACAAATTATGTTTATAATTTTATTACATATTTTTATTACATAAATGTAAAGTTGTTTATATTACTGTTGTTTATAAATTAATAAGAGCCATAATTTAAGTGCCTTCTATGCATCAGGCATTTAATAAATATTTTTATTTAGTATTCATAGCACTCAGCATAGTAGATAATACCCTATAGAGATTCAGAAGGTGCCCAAAGTCACTCAGTGGCAGAGCTGGAACTGGACCCAGGTTTGTTTACATACATGTGTATGTGTGTGTATATATATATATATATATATATATATATATACTGGTTAAAATGCTACTGTAAAGTGGATTCCTCCTCATGTTTTCCATCCCATGAGACTACATGAGATAGTACTGCATTGATTCTTCTTTGCAGAGATATCTTTGCCTGTTCAAATTCTGACTTTTGAATAGACTTGCCCTGAGAATCTCTGTGAGGGAAACAGTGTAATGGTCTTCATCATTTAGAACTTGCTGCCAATGTCTGTGTCCAGCTTCTGACAGCAGCATGCTGGGAGAATCTATTTCTCTTTCATAAGAAGTTGGTCAATTTTTTCCTGCTCTTAAGATATCATCTTGTCAAAAAAAATGAAACCACTGAGAGTGATTCATACATCCAGTTGGTTGCATTATTTGGTCATCCAGGGTTTGCTGATGGGGAAAAAAACAACCCTTATCGATGGTACAGATTGAATTGCTGGGTTATAGGATTCCTGCATTTTCAACTCTAAGATATGATGCCAATGTGTTCTCTCAATAGCTAAACCAATTAAAAATTCCAACAGCGGCATGTTAAAAGTATTGCTACTTCTCACACAAATGAGTGTCTAATTACACTAACAATATTTGGAACCATACATTACATTTGCATTACTACGATCCATCAAGGAATTTTACCTTTCTAAACAATTTGTTGACAGACAGATATGCTTCTGCCTGCTCTCTGACCAACCTCCTGTGGAGATACCAGGTCTGGAGACAGATTGCTTGTGCAAATACAAACATGAAACTCCAGAACACCTGTTGTGAATCTCGACCTTCTCTCTGCCTCGACCTTCTTTCTGAGTGGACTCCAAATGACCTCTCTTTCTTGTCGTTTTCACTGCTGAAGTTGGAGAGTGACTTTGAGGAAACTAAATATTACATTTTTCTAGAATTGTTGATTTAAGCCACAATTATACCCATGGTAGAAACGATCGGCTGATCATCAAAGATGGGTCATCCCTCCCACGGTGCAGTCGTTGTGGGAAGGGGCTGCCCAGCCTCAATTCTAGCCAGGACTGGTTCTCACCAAGGAAATGGTGCTGTGGTGTTACCTCCTCTAGGTCAAAGTGACTAAGAAACATGTGTGTCTTCCACACAATCACTCTCCGTGACCCATCCACTGAATGAAGAGCACTCTGGGGACCAAGCAGAGAGCAGAGCCACAAAATGGAAGTCACCTGTGCTCTGAGTAGCCATACTCAACACTTCCCAACCAGTTTGGATAGGGAAACTAAGCAAGAAATATTAATCCCCTGGGAAGTGGTGTTAATCTACTATAGCAGTTAACATCACCCAGATGTTATGCAGCTAAAATAGACTTCAATATATATTTGGAAAATTTTGAATTCTTCCCTTCCATAAATAAGTATACATATTTGCAGTTCCCATGTTCATAGATGCAGGATCCAAGGACCAAGCGCCTTCAAAAGCCAGCAGCTTTGAATTTCTCCTTAACCCCTCTTGGACATAGGCTTCTGAGCCATGAAGGCAGGAAAGTCACTGGCCCAGTGCTCAGTACCAGTTGGTATTCACTAAATGTCAACTTCCCTCATCGCTCAACTGAATAAATCAATGTTGCTCAGACACTCTACATTGGGGAGGCATAATCAAATATAAACCACTTGATCAAAAGTAAAAACAGAAAAAGGAAGCCCACGTGAAAAGAAGGAAGAGAAATCTTTCTTGGCCACAAGTAGACCAAAACACCATCTGCTCTTGCCTGTTGTCCTTAGTGTAGTGTATAGTGTTAGACCTTGATACTGGTGTTTTTGTTTTGTTTTGTTTTGAGACAGGGTCTTGCTCTGTCACTTGGGCTGGAGTGTAGCAGAACAATCTCAGCTCACTGCAGCCTCGACATTCCAGTCTTCAAGTAATCCTCCTGCCTCAGCCTCCTGAGTAGCTGAGATTACAGGCATACACTACCATGCCCAGCTACGTGGTTTTTTTTTTTTTGGTAGACACAGGGTCACACTATGTTGCCCAGGCTGGTCTCAAACTTCTGGGCTCAAGTGATTCTCCTGCCTTGGCCTCTCAAAGTGTTGGGATTATAGGCATGAGCCACTGTGCCTGTCCCTTGAATTTGTTGTAATCTCTTTAGAAATCACTTTAATTCAGAAGCAAAGGCCACTTCATAGTATGCTTTTATATTACCTTATCAATTTTACTTTGTGCTCATTTAAAAGATAATTTTGTCCCAGCTACTCCGGAGGCTGAGGAAGGAGAACTGCTTGAACCTAGGAGGTGGAGCTTGCAGTCAGCCAAGATTGCACCACTGCACTTCATTTAGCCTGGGTGACAGAGTGAGTCTGTGGAAAGAAAGGGGAGGGGAGGGAAGAAGAAAGGCAGGAAAGTGGGAAGGGGGAAAGGAGGAAAGCAGGGAAGGAGGGAAGGAGGGAGGGCGGGAAGGAAAATTTAAATTTAAAAAATAAATTTAAAAAGAATTTAAAAATTGATTCTAGATCATATCACTAGAAAAAAATTTTATGAATTTTCAATTTTTCCAAAGGGAATCCTTATAAAGACACCACGTTATCCCCCTACTTTTTTCTTTCAGTTGAAGTCTCTATTTCCAACCAACCTTGCCAGCAGAATAGGGTGGTTTTTTAAAATCTTTATCATATTTTACTATATGAAAAACTAATTCATACACCTTGTAAAAGTACATTAAATTCAGACAATAGAGAAGTACAAAATTTAAAAAATAGGGAAATGGGATGTTATATGCCAATTTGTTTTTCTGATTAAAGTATTTATCTTGGGTATCTCTTCATGCCCCTCCTTCCCAAGGCAAACACCCTCAATGCATGTAAAGTCCTGAGATTTGGCTTAAGAGGCCAAAGGGGACGAGTGATGTTAACTCCCACATCCCTTCACTGACAGCTTTCTCATTCCTGCCCAGGTCTCATGAGTGTGGGCAGAAACACGCAGGTCCAAGGAACTCATCTGGGCATAGATGTGCCCAGACAGGCATGAGTTCTCCAAGCTTCTTTATTCAGAGCTGGTTCCCTACAAGGGCATCTTTGTGGCAGGAACTTGCAAGTGAATACTGCCAGGGAGAAGAATGCTGATTACTTGAGTATGGCAGTAGCTGTCTGCATGGAAAGAAATCACTTATCATGGAGCTTGTGGATGTGTGAATTCCAAGTTCAGAGTAATTAAACAGGGGAGCAGGACTGAGCCTCAGATACAGGCAGGGTAC